GCACAGACCCTCTCTTGCCCTTCCCAGGGCTTCCCGGCAGCCTGGCTGCCCACAGCCTGGAGCAGCTGATGCCACTCTGACCTCTGCTCTTGTGCTTCAGGGAGGTGATTGAGAAGAAGCCAGAGGTGTTCAAGGTCACCTGCTTGAAGGACATCCAAAACCTGTTTGCCACCAAGCTGCCCTTCTATGCGGCTTTTGGGAACAGAGCCAACGTGAGTGGGTCTCATGGGGAGGAGGGAGGGCACGGGCTGGGGTGGTGGTGCCTTTGTGCAGCTCTCATGCCTTGCTGGCCTGCCTTGGGCAGGATGTCTATGCTTACAAGCAGGTTGGCCTGCCAGAGAGCCGCATATTCACAGTCAACCCCAAGGGAGAGCTGATCCAGGAGCTCATGAAGAACCACAAGTCAACGTAAGTAATGTGCCTGTTCCTTGGCATCTTAGGGTTAGCCCGGAGAAGCAGCTCATGGGGTAGAAAACGAAAACCCAGCCTCTTTCTCACCCCCATAGGTACGAGCGGCTGTCGGAGCTTGTGGAGCTCGTCTTCCCTCCCCTGGGACAGAGCGGGAGCACGGCTCTGGTGTGTCCGGAGTACAGCCACTTTGCCTACTGGAGACCACCACTGCCTCCTGTTGACTTGGATGCCTTCTCCTGACCTTGTTACATGTGGAGCCCTGACCCAGGGCTCTCCTGTGTGTCCTCTGCCAGGATGGGATGCTTCACATGCCTCTTCTCCTCCCTGCTTGCTGCCCAGGCACTTTGCACTGCTCCCAGGGGTCATGTTCTGCGCTAGAAACACTCCTCAGGGGGCCAGAGCTCTGATTCTACAGAAACTGCATTTACTAAAATAAATTCCTGTAAGCTGGGCCTCTGCTTAATGTTCTTAACACCTTTAAAGCCTGGCTCTTCATCAAAAGTGGTGGTGGGCCACTCATGTCTTATTTGTTGATGAGCATAGCTATTGCTCCCTCCAGTATGACCAGTGTTCCCAGCAATCCAGCTACCTGCAGTTTGGAAGCTGATGGAATGAATCTGTTCTGTGGCTTAACAGCTTGTTAAGGTGGCTGGAAGGTGTTTGGGGTTTGAGTGTTCTTCACTAATAGCACTTGATCTGGTCTGCCTCTTTTTTGCTGTAGCCCTGTGCATGGAAGTGGGAGCCAGGCTCTGTGCCCTTCTCCAGCTGTGGGTGAGTTTGGACTGGGTGCCCTGCCAAGAGCATCATCTTGGTGGAGATTGGGGCAGGACCTACTACAGCTTCCTTGCTCCTTGTGGTTCCAGGGCACTGGAAAAGGACTTTTCTTTCCTTCTTTCCCTTCTTTCTTTCTTCTGCAAACCTGATTTCACACAGGAAGCAAAGCCTGGCTTTATGTGCATGGGGTGAATCTTCTGTGCCTGCGTCCTGCTGCAGTCTCGTGCTGGGGCAGGAGCTTGGTCCTGTGCCCTGTATTGGAGTGTTCAAGTGGGGTTGCCCTAAAGCAGGGTTGGGCTGGGACTCAACCGACCTGTGCTGGGTGAGGGACCTGACAAACCTGCTGCCCTGCTCTGGGAGCTCTCAGCTGTGACTAGATAAGCTAACCCAGGCAGCAGCGCTGCTGCACTCCTTCCCCAGCCTGGCATCCACGTTCTCCTTCCTTGATCACTATTGTGAATGTAAACCTACTGTGCCTGCCCTCTGCTGCCCAGCTGGAGGAAAGGGAAAGGAAAAACACGGATCTTCCCTAAAGCCTGGGGCACAGCTCTGCAAAGGACCTGCCTAAGCTCTAGAGAAGCAACCAAACAGGCCAGCAATAGGGACACATCACTGTGATCCTGGAAACCTCAGCAAGAAATACTTTATTTTTTTTTCTTTTCCAGTACAAACACTTTTTCAGCTTTAAAAATCTGAACAAATGTACAAGGTTTTAAACACAATAAAACACAGCCTTTCCCCAGCATCACTTAGCAACTGCCTCGGGGAGCTGCCTGTGCAAGGACAGCCCCATGGGCACCATCTCCTTCCCTCTCTGCAAGCAAAACCACAATAAAAATGCCCTATTTTGTACAAAGTTCCTTCACTTTTTAAACACAAATAGCTGAGAACTGGAATACAAACTGTCCATAGCTTCAAGTGACTTGTCAGGTACAGTCCAAATGTAGCACCATTTTCCGGAAGGTCAGACTTCTTCCTTGTCCTGGTTTTGTTATGGCCAGTCCTGGCCCCCTCCGTGCTGGAGGCAGCCGTTGCTGTTGAGCTGCTCTGCCCCAGCCCTGGGAAGGGGGAGCCTGGCCCTTGGCTTTGTCTTTGGTTGTTCTCTTTGCAGTCTGTTTTCTCCCTGTTGTGAGAGGATGGGGGTGGGGCTTGGGCACGATGCTCCAGTGGGATGACGGTTGGCTTGAGACTCCTTCCTTGGACTGGGGAAAAGCCATAGGTTTTGTTGTCCAAGAGCAGGCTTTGCAGGATGCCCAAAGGCAGCTGGGGGTCGCCCCTTGCCTGGAGAAGTGTCTCAGTCGGTGCAGCACAGCTCCAGAGCAGCAAGAGTGGATTCTGATGCTCGGAGCATCTGGCAGCCTGCGAGCTGGTAGGGATAAGTGAGTGGTGGGAGACCAGGTCCCCTCTCCCTCTTACACAGCTGATGGACCACAATCCTCTGGCAGGGGAAAGAGCTTCTACCACACTAGGGTAACACGATGTGGCCACAGTGATCCCTGCTGTCCTCCCCGGCCTGGAAGCATCTGTTTCAGGGAGCTCATCCAGTTTCTATGGAGGAGAAAAGGCACCCAGATACATCTCTGCTGGGAGCTGCTGCTGCTTTGTGCTGGTCAGAGCATAGAGCTGCTCCTTTATAGGGTGGGAGAGCAGGGACAGCCTGGTGAGGGTGATGGGCACCGGCTGGATGCTGAAGGCAAGCTGGCCTGGAAGGGTCCATGAGCTGCAGTGCTGAGCTGATGGAAAAACATGTTCCTCTTCTATAAAGTGCCAGAGCTGGTCAGAGGGAGGCTATTTAATTTCTTCTTCATCCTTTCTGGTAGTGAAGTCCGTGTTGACTGAGCAGCAGAGGACATTCACACTGGGATCCCTGGGAGAGGTGGCTTTTGTGAGCCACAGCCGCACGGTCCAGGCTCCTGCTCCATAGGGCAAGGCTGGAGTTGCTCAGAACACGTAGAATGTTTTCCAGCCTGCCTGTTGGTGGGAGAACAGCCAAGCTGGCTGTGTAAATCACTCCGGTTCTTCATTCCCAGGCTGAGCTGAGGTCCCAAGAGGTCTTCTCAAAGGTACCCTACTCCACATCGGTGTGGGTCCCAGTGAGCTCAGAGGAACATGAGGAGGATGCAGACTCCTGCTCTGCACAGGGAGAGCCTCACACTCACCCCCTGGGGCTGCTGCAGCTCTCCTGCCCTGGCATGAGATGAGGAAAACCATGTTCACAGTTTCAGCTATCAAATGGGAGAGAACCAGAGCTGGAGGACAGGACTGCTCCATGCCCAGCTCCTGCAGATGCCTGTGGACACACATCTCTTGGGGGAAGACACAGACCCTTCGTATCAGCCCCAGGTGTAACCAGTGAGCACAGCACAGTGGGATTGAGGGACACGGATGTCCTGAGAGACAGGTTTTAGCTGCTCAGTTGGTTCTTCAAAATACAGCAAGGGACATGGGGACAGCAAGAGACAACTGCAATCAGATGAGCACCATAGCAGGTGATTGTTCAAAAATATACATACACATGCCATACATCTATAGATGTATGTATGTGTCTTCCTAATGCATATCCTCACATGCTCCATAAGGAGCATGCACAGTGTAAATGGATTTACCGTACAGAAGGAGGGCTGCTGTCTCAGAGAGGGGAAGGCAGCTCCCAGGGGATGTGTGGACATGTGTGTTCTTTGAGATCCACAATTCCTGTGGTGAGTTTTGTTCCCTGTAAGGAGCCCTGGCTCTGCTCAGTCCCTTCATTAAGATGCAGGTGGTCTTCAGGTCAGAGAACCTCTATTCCTCAGCTGATAACTACAGGGGTTTAGTCTTCAAGAAGTGAGAAATCCACAAAAATAAAATAAAACCCCCAACGTTTCTGCCTCCAGCTTCCTCCTGAATTGTTCTTCTGGGGTCATCAGCCCGGAAGCCAAAGCAATGCCCCAGCCGGAGCAGTAATGCTGCTGCACCAGGGCTGGTGGGTACCGGTGGCCACGTTATGGAGGAGTGGGGCAGACAGGATTGAACATGAAAATAAAGGGGTTGTAGCAGCTTTTAATTTATCTTTTCATTAAAAAAAAAATCTCCCAAGAACTGTTGTCACATTGGAGCAAGTCTGTGTGATGGAAGCTAATCCTGTCCTTCACAGGGAGGAGAAGGAAGAAGCACGTGGCAATGCGGCTAGTGCTGCTTCCCCTGCGCCTGCTCTTCCAAGTGGCCAACCTGCTCGGCCAGCTCGGAGACCTTGGCTTGGCAGTCCAGCAGGTTGTCCTTCAGTCCTGTTATTTCCTGAGAGTGGGCAGCCAGGGTCCCGTTCATGTGGTCCATGTAGTCCCACAGGCTGCCCGTGTGTTTCTCCAGTTCATCCCTGACGCCATCCAGGCTTCCCGTGATGGCACCCAGCCTGCCACAGGCGCTCTCCACCCGGGCCACCCGGTCATCGAAGTGAGCAATCTCCTTCTGCAGGTCATGGGCCACGTTCTTGCAGGAGCTCAGGTCACTGATGATCCTGGCTTTGAGTCGCTCCAAGTCTCCCTTGAGGTTGAGGACACGCCGGTTGCTGAAGAACAGCTGGGAGCCTTGGTCGTTGACTTTCTCCTGGATGGAGTGGACCTCATCCTCGATCTTCCGCTCATGCTCATCCAGTGAGGAGTTTACGTGCGCCATGGTGTCCGAGTACTGGGAGACGGAGTCCCTGAGCCCCGTCAGAGACTTGCTCACGGTGTTCAGGTTGATCTTTAGCAAGTTGATCTCCCCTTGCAAAGCCCCCGATGCTTCCTCCTCGATCCGCCGCTGGATCTCCAGGATGGTGGCGTTCAGCTTGCGCAGGAGGTCGTAGTTGCTGTCCATGCGCAGGAGCAGGTCCTGGTTCTTGTTCTGGCAGTCTTCGATCTCTGTGCGGAAGGACTCCACGTCTTTGGAGGCGGAGCTGCAGCCCAGGGAACAAGTGCTCTCCAGCGTGACGAGGCGATTCTGCAACACCTCCAGTGCCTCGTCCGTCCGTTTCCTCATGCTGGCAAGCTCCCCCTCCAGCACGGGCACCACCGCGCCGTCCATTCCCATGGGAGAGCTCACATTGTTCAGCTCCCCCACGATGGTCATGAACCTGTCCTCCAGGGTCTGCATTTTGTCTTCAAAGGCAGTCCTCATGCCATCCACCTCTGCCACCACCGTGCCTCTCATGCTGTCCTCTATACCAGAACAGCAGCTCCCTGTTTCTGTAGCATTGAGTTTGGCTTCCAGGTCTTCGAAGCGCCCTTCAAAAAGGTTCCCTAGGGTGACAGTGGAGATTTCTCCATCCAGCCGGGAGTGCAAGTTCTTCTGGGACTCGGAGATGCTGTGGAGGCCTTTCTCAAGGATGTTCATACGATCGGTGAGGTAGTCCAGGTTGCTGCAGCAGCTTTCCACCACTGTAAGCCCTTGGATCTGGGTCTCCAGCTGGGAGATCTCTTTCTTGATCTCTAGCTCCTTCCCGTCCAGCGGCTGGAGATTTCTCCATCCAGCCGGGAGTGCAAGTTCTTCTGGGACTCGGAGATGCTGTGGAGGCCTTTCTCAAGGATGTTCATACGATCGGTGAGGTAGTCCAGGTTGCTGCAGCAGCTTTCCACCACTGTAAGCCCTTGGATCTGGGTCTCCAGCTGGGAGATCTCTTTCTTGATCTCTAGCTCCTTCCCGTCCAGCGGCTGAGTGGTCTGGATCTTCCCCAGCTTCTTCTCGAAGCCGTCGAGCAGCTCCCCGCGCAGGGTGCTCAGCCTCGTGTCCACGTACTCCTCCAGCAGGTCTATAGAGGTGAGGGGCGAGGGCCGGGCTGACTCCAGCAGATGCTTGATCTGCCCGTCGTGGTCCAGGACCATGCCACGCACCTCGTGCAGCAGATCCGCCTTGGTTTTCAGCACGTCGCTCACCTCCGTCACCTTGGTCAGGATGTCCCCCACGGGAGGGAATGCAGCGATGTCGGCTTTGTCGGCCGCATCCACCAGGCCGTCGGGAATGATGCCGAAGCCCACCGTGGAGTCAGGCGTGCCGGGGCTGTTCATCAGCGAGCCGATCATCCTGGTGGTGTCCTCCTGGATGGCCAGCCGCAGGCGGTCGCCCAGCCCGCTCACCATGGTGTGCAGGCTGTCGTAGGACTGGGAAAGGCGCCTCACCTCCTCCTCCAGCCGATCCAGGCGGTCCCCGAAGAGCCCCGGCAGCTTCCTGCCTGCACAGGGAAAGAAGCAGAGAGACAGTCAGGGCTGGTGGTCCTTGAACTTCCCTCTTTGGCTACCTTCTATATGAGAGTCCTTTCCCATACTAACATCAGCTCCTGCATCCCTCTTATTGCCATGTCAGTGAGCTATCAGCCCACCCGTCCTCCTTTCCTCTACATCTTTTCTTAAGCTGATCAGGAAACCCTCTTTCTTCTGGGGATCAAACCCTCTGTTCAACAGCAGGTGATGAGAGCAGCCTAGAGGAGCTTTATCTTGAGACACACTCTATTGACCCCAAAATTAATGGAAAATGCTTGAAAGCAATGAGGGAAATGTTGCAGCTGCACATTTTGAAACAAACTACATTAAAAAGGAAGTGATCCTGAAAGCAATCAGTGTCAGGTCTTGGATCAGAAAGCACATCATCCACTGATGGTTTGCCCAATCCATGCCCTGGGCTGGAATAGAGCAGAAAGAACCAGGAGGTGTGAGAGCATGCAGTGATGTGGTAATCTGGGCATGTGAAGCAGGAGCAAGATCTCACCATACTGGTTCTTCTTTGGTCCTGGAAACAGGTCAGGGTGGCTTTTGGGATAGGGAGGAAGCCTGGGGATTGGAAACATCTTCTGCCCGGGGGGCACTCTGGGGCTGGGCTGTTGGGGCAGGAGGCCGGGTTGGTCAGTGGGGCTGTCGTGGCACCCTTCTCCCATGAAGCCGGGGCAGCACCTCCAGGCCAGCTCAGTCACTGTCTTGTATCCAATCTTGTATTTGGGCCTGAAGAAGGTGCGGTACCTTTTCAGGAGAGGGGAGGAAGAGAGAAGACAGTTTAGAGAAGCAACCTCAATGTTGAGCAGTAGAGAAGAGCGGGGCCACGGGTCCTGTTGGGCACATGGGAAAGCCTGGCTGAGACCCGTGTCCTGCACCTGCAGACCATGACCCACCTTCAAGACCTTCAAGAGCTCTTGAGAAGAACAGTCCTCCCCAGCCAGCTGGCAACACAACTAGACAAGCCTGAGAACCAGCCTGGGGTGAGGAGGGGCTGTCTGAGCGGAGCCATTGGTTCTGTACCTGTGCTTTCTGGTGAGGTTTCTTGGTTGGAATTGTTTTTAACCTGAGACTCCCATTGTTAGTTTGGAAAAGCACAAGTGTATTTGTTGCTTTGGTCTCTGGCTCGATATAGATGACCACTGTGACAGATGACACACAGTTTGGCACCTTTTGGACCCGAAGAACACAAGATCAGAGAATCCCAGACTGGTTTGTGTTGGAAGGGACCTTAAAGCTCATCCAGCTCCAACCCCTGCCATGGGCAGGGACCCCTTCCACTAGAGCAGCTTGCTCCAAGCCCCTGTGTCCAACCTGGCCTTGCACACTGCCCGAGATGGGGCAGGCA